TATATACGCCTGGAAGAACGGAATTCCGCGCCCCACAGGCGCTGCGTAGCGCCTTTTCCAAAAAGGTGCCCTTGTAAGGCCTGTCAAGCTGCAACATACCGACCCGACGCCCACCGCGCCCGCCCGCCCACAAATGGACGACCGTACCTGATGCTCGTATTGCTTCATTTGCTAAGTATGAAGCGAAGGGATTGATATGAAGCGCTGCACGGATATATGAGTACATATGTGCAGCCGCCTCTACCGTAGCGGTTATTGGCAAGATGGGTATGGGAATCTCGTCCGAAATTGTTTTTCCGAGACATTAAAAACGGAGGCTTTCTGCGCCGGTTTTTTACCATTTCACGTCGTTTTTTCGCCATTTTGCCAACTATATAACACCCTGCTAGCATTTTAGACCGAGTGCCAAATTATCGGATATGCCTTTAAGAAAAGAGCGGCCAAAGGGTGGAGGGGGAGGAAGAATAGGAGCAGTAATGAACATTTGCTTTTTTCTGTTGCATAACATTAAGGCGGTTATTTCTGATGAAGCTCGGAAATAACCCAACATTAAAAGTTCAATGCTATTCTAGTGGGCGAAAGTTCACAGAAACCAAAGCTCACCGAATGATTCCCTGCGGATGGTCGGGTACACCAAAGTCCGGCCAAGCCATATAGTGAAAATGCCATATGACACGAGGTGGCGCTGACTCGTGTAGTTTTTTCAAACGCAATTCCCGAATGGTGAAATCCTCAAACGATGACTCGTTCAGCAGGGTCACCTGAAAAGGAAAATCTCTTTGAAAAATTCCTTTGAATCAATGATAACTCAGGCCTCGTTAAGACCCTACCTCGATGTCAGAGTACACGACACTGGAGTGTTCTGCATCAGGCCAGTACTGATGGCATTTATCTCGCCCTTTCTCCACGCACTTCGTCAACGCTATAATAGCCGGACAGTGCTGCTCCCATGCCATCTGAAAAGGAGTAGGATCACATACAGACTCGGGAGAAAAGTGCGCTGCTTGTCGCTGACCTGCCAAAAGGCGTCTCTGGTCGTGGGCAGTGGTCCCTGTGCAGCGATGAATTCTCGCCTTGATGAGTAACCCTGAATAATTAGAAATTCAGTGGTCGAATAAGAAAGCAGGCTTTGGCGAGAAATGGACATACCGGCATGAAGTTTGCATTGACATAGTCGGCACCTTCGTGATCACCCGCTTGCATCAAACGGACCCGGGAGTGATCGTATGGGAGGATATTTGTAAATCTGTAAAGAATAGACAAATTCATAAAGTCCGTGGTCCCTCATTCTGATGCTGAATCTCACCTGTTCTTTGGTTTATTTGCGGGTAATTCGGCAGCTGTATATGACTGTCCGCATCCAACATTTCGCAAGATCTATAAAAGGTCAGAAATGGCTCATTTTCTCCCATTCAAACAACCGTTACAACAGCTAAATGGTATTCGAAATTACCTCATACTCTTCAGAAAAACGAAAATCAGAATCAGCAGCCATCATACGAACATGTTCAGCAAAATCCGCAATTTTCACAGGACGGCTGAAATGTTAAAGGTTTTCGGCGAAAATCAAAATGACG